GTGTACAACGTAGTGTGGACGCTAGACGAGACGGAAAATGCTGTCTATAGACCGTGTCTCGAGACCATCTCTAGAGAGTCTATAGGCAAATCGCCCAAAAAATTCTACTAGTGTGTACTAGGCTTAATAGAAATTCGGCAAGATTTACCTCGAAAACGGGACATTTTTTAATATTAAAAAGCCTGACTCAATAGTTTCAAGAAACTGTGTTGGTTCTTCATGACTGCTTCGATATCTCTAAAACACAACTTATCCTGTATCGATTCGTTAACTTTGAAAATATCTGAGTTTGGAACATGGAACCTCCCAATTTTTTTAAAATGAATTTTATTTAACCTGTACCTCACCAAAACCCATGGAGGGTCTTTGCTTCAGTACGATGTAAGAAAACACTCAACCACCAGGTTTTCTCCGTTAGTTAATTAATTAAATACCTGTTATCAGCCATAGCTGCTCTATTACCTTCTACTCTAAGCTACCACTAAGCTACCACGGTCCCTTGTGTTTGTTTTTGTTAAAAGGAATTTACAGTTCCAAAATCGGCATTTCAATAAAAAAGTTCATCTGGTTTGATATCTCATTTATCAAAATCCATCTCTGACGAGAACCGGGAAAGGAAGAGATATATCCTGGCGTATTATATCTTTGGAATCTGTGAAAAGTGTATTAAGTGCAATTTCGTGGATATCGCTATAAAGCCAGTTTTGATTTCTTTCTTTTTGTCTAGTGGTCTATATGATGTGACTATTACATATATGAACATTGCTTTGTGAATCATGGGTTGAAACTCGAAAATTGAACCCGCGCCTATAGCGTTTCCCAAATGCGAGACCAAGACGAGGCATACTCAGTCTTGGTTTTGGACTTGGTCTTGCGCAAGAGTCTCGCAACAGTCTTAAAGTTACCTATTAGCTTATTTCTATAGAGATATTACTGTAATTTTTTAGATAGGGGAATCCTAACTAAGCCAGAATGAAAAATTTGGAAGAGTGTATTGGTTATGCCAATTGCAAAGTGCAAGACCAACACCAAGATCGATTTTCGGCAACACTACGCACCTGTAAGAATTCCAAACATTCAACTGCGTTTTATAAATATGATTTTTGCATTTAACACACTATGCATAGACGCCACGGATTAATTTTTCATAAAATTCAATTAAGCAATTTGGATTATTTAAATATGAATTATATTTATATCCTAAAATATGTTATTTGTAATAAAAAAAAAAAACTGTCAAGATGAGCCTTCCCGGTACCGAACACAAGGAAGCGACATTGCCATATCTCTGACGCTGAAGAGATTACACCTGAAGTAGTAGCGCCTTGGGATCCTCAACGTCGTAAATATCGGCCTATCTCAGTCTGGCTTACATATCCCCTCTACCATCGTTATAAATATTGTTAACATAATATTTATGAAGTACATGTATTTAAAACTTACCGTTGTATATATGCAGGCGTTTTCTTTGTTTATACATGTTTGCAAGATTTAATCCTACAATATAATAAGATTTTATGAAATAGTTGAGAGGTTTCAAAACTGAAATGCTTGTTGTGAGATCAATTGTTTTAAAGCTTTCGATGCGGGCGGACATCAAAATTTGAAGACGAAATATTCATTTTTAAAGATTAAGTTTTAAAGTGTACCAGTTTTGAGATAAACTGTAACTTTTACCAAAAGCCTATAAGTACTATAGTTGCCAATGGATACATATCACATGTTTAGGTTTTAATAATTAAAATATTGCTATTTAAGATAGCTTAGTCTTCGACAAACTGAAATTTTATAGAAAAGTTAAATGCAGAACAATAGCCCTTGGGAACTTTACTTAACTTAAAAAAATATTTTTTGATATTTTTAATAAATAATAAAAATACTCATGCACGGCTTCTATCCTTACAGTAACAGGATTTTATATGTTTAGTAAGTGAGTGAACTAAAAACGAAGCCTGTTCTGCACTATACAAATAAATTTTGAGCCTGTACAATGATAGATACGTATAAGTACAACGATAATTCTGGATTATTGCTTAATTATTAAAGTACTGAAATATTTTCCAGTACGGTAAATTTATTACTTGATGATCTCACTTATACGTTAATACATTGGAAAGATGAATAGTAAAAATATATTATTATTCGTGACTGCTAAAATTCTAATGGAACTATGGCGTATCTACATCTATATAAATTTATATAAAATCTACTTGTAAAATCTATATTTGTACATTATAAATAAATTTGTTGATTCAGGATAATTCTATTGTTTGTCAATTAACCAATCTAGAAAATAATTTGAATGGCCTGTTAATATTTTACTTTCTATCTGATGTGTTTTCACACTACTATTTTCTATTATAGGTAACGTCGTTTCTCGTGTTGCCCAAATGCGGACTCAGTCTTGGTCTTGGTCTTGTCTTTCGTAGATATTAAACATGTTACTAAAAGAAAACGCTACGAAATAGGAACGAGATGTTTTATTGAACATAGTCCAGTTCAACCAAGTTATTAAAATTAACTTGACAATACATTAAATGCGTTGTAAAGAATGATAGCCCGCACATTGGATTGGAAGAGCTGCAGAGTAAAGACAATCTATACGATGTCACCAATTAGTTAAATAAACTATCTGGTGTGTCCACTCACCTGATTTTCCAACAGATTCTAAACAATTTTTCTTTATAAATATGTTCATAAACAAAAATAGACTAATTTTCCTGATAAACAATCAGAGAAATCATTGGAGTACGATTTCTTTGATGGTCTATAGCAGCGTATCCGGGCAAGTTTTGTTGGAAATTTAATAACCTTTTTATAATATAAAAATGTTAATAACCTTTTTATAATTTAAAAATGTTACCAATATAAAGATATTACAGTCATTTTTTGGAATGGAGAACTTAACTAAACCCCGAATGAAAAATTGGAGAAAGTAAATACAAAAGTATTTCCACCAATTCTTTGCATATGTTAACTAAAATTCTCGAGCATTAGTAACCATTTTGCCATATTTGTTATTCACATAAACACTTTATTATTATTTTTTTTTTTTAACTAGTTTTGGTCTTGTCTTGCAGCAATTAGAAGGTCTTTGCCATGGTCTTGCAAAGTGCAGGACCAACACCGATTTTGGGTAACACTATTCTTTTCTATGAAATAGGAATTGACACATTCTGTTACATTTCAACATAATCTGAATTCACTTACCATTAAGAAGTGTGTTCCGTTAACCATCTTGTATCAAATCTTTTAGTCTATATTTTAGATTACTGAATCATTAATTTAGCATTAAGGTTTACTTCGAATACATACTACACTCAAGCGTTCCATATTTTAAAACTTAACTTCCCTAGCAAGGTTACCGCATGGCCAAAACTTGGACGGTAGTTAATCTGAAATCAATTAACCGAGCTTGGAGCTTGAAGCTTATGAGTAAGCACTTGAGAATCGCTTAATAAGTTACCGCCAACTTATGATTAACGCGGAGGCTGTAAGTACTTCCTCCAGCTGGGAAACAAACCATTACCTAAAGTCCATGAAATCTTTAACCGAATAAAAATGGCCTCTTTTCAGTAATGTTGTTAAAACAATAGTATCCGGGTAAGTAATTAAAACGTGCTTAAGAGTTATTTTAATTCAAACTTCTGTGGATTAACTCGTCCTTCAGATCCTGGTTGTACATAAGAATGTTAAACCTCAAATGAAAAATCGAAGCAAAAAAAAAAAGAAGAATTTTGATTTAGCTTGTAGCGTTTGCTGGCTAATAAAAGTTATAGCACGGGATCTTACTGAATAATTCTTAGCTTGTAGGTGGGCAAACAAATTAGTATTAATGGAACCATATGTGTTCCAAAATTTTGGACTTTCAGATAACAGGGAGAAATGAGTCCCATGACAAATCATCTAAATCTCACAAGTTTAGTAAGTAAGGAGGTAACTCATGATAAAAGGGGACACCGCCTCAAATTATATTTGAAAATCATTTCAGCTATTTTCCTCCAGTAAATGGATTTACAGTTTCTGTAGCAACTCAGATGGACTCATTGGGCATAGGAACAATGTATAAAATATTTTCACGTATAATTTATATCGTACGTAAAATGTTAGTGAAGGTAAAAATCACCGTCACATAATCCTATCCACCTAAATGGGTGAGATACACCTGCATACTTACTTAAAGGCATTCGAAAGTCGTTAGTGAAGTAGACGTCTGGTAATATTGAAGCTTGGTGTAGTAATCGGATGCGTTATACACCTCAATGATACATAAATTTACTTTATGACTAAAAGTTTCCTAAAAAATATAACAAAATATGTTCTCAGTATTTAGAGCTCAAACAGCTAAACAACGTTTATAGAATCTAATTTATAACATTAAACTTAATAATTGGGGGCTCCGTTTGCATGAAAAATTATCGTACTATACAAATGGCGTAATTGCATTACCATCCTTGTGGCTTTTTCGTATTCGGCCAATAATTAGATATTACATATCCATTCTTGAGAAGAGTATGCAAGCCACCTCAGATGGTCTGAACATGTTAAAGGAATTTCTAACGATCAGGTCTCAATAAAAATCCTCTTGTTAAAAATATTTGACAAAAGGAGAAGACCAAAATTGTGGTGGATGAATGGCGTAGAGGCCCGATCCATGCTTGAGTTTCAGAAGAGGGAGGCGGCAGCACAGCATGAGGATGACGAGTTCATAGAAAGAGGCTTTGTCTCCATGCGGGACTTAGTGCCTCCAACAAGAATAGAGATTGATTTGTGCTCAGAGTTTAGTGGTATGTGAAAATAGTGTGGTTCTCTCTCTCCACCAGATTAAAAATAAGCAACAATTAAAAATTTATAATTATGTATCAACATATTTTAAGTGACTTTATTTACAATTTTAAATATTTATATACATTTATTATAAATAACATTTGTGCACGAACATTTAACAATTTTATAGCATTAATGTATGAAATACTCTGATGCTTGTTTTTCCTGTTTAATTATTTACAAAATTTATTTGTTCCTTGTTCGAGTATTGTTGGATATCTCTCTGGATCTGGTTCGATAAGAGCGCCTTGAAACAGTATAATACCACCTTTGAGAATTTGGAAAAAGAATGGATGGTCGCATTTCATCTCTTCAACGGTCTTCCTTGAACGAGGCGTTAAAACGATACCGGTGGCGGCGGCTGCTTCAGTCCCTCGTTCATTAACCTCAATGAAGGCTTTTTGTATAATCTTACTGATATTAAGGGGTCCATTGGTTATCCCTGGGAAGTTTGCCTTGTCAGTAAAGGCTGTAGGTACTTGTTGTGAAATCAAATTGTTGAGGTCTATAGTTTTTTCAATCCTGAACCTCGGCAACATGAGATTCACCGTACGTTGGTTGAGAGTCGACAATTCTTCGAATAGATCTATAGATTTCAGTTTATTTTCTGTTTCAGACAAACCTTCTAATTTATTTGGTAGAAAAATTATGATGCTGAAAACTTCATCCGAGTATAGAAGTTTTATAATCTTGGCATCCAGTTTTTCAGACTCCACGTAATGGAATGATTTACACGCAACCATCATTCTCACATTCACTGTTCTATGAGGAGTGACATGAAAAGGCATAACAATAGTATTTTCTTTTTCGAATCTGGTCTGCCATTCAGCATAGAAGTGCATCGCATTAACCATTACTAAGCTATCATCAGCGTGTATAGAATCTTCCGGAAACAGATCTTTTATTTTTTGGCTCGTTTTTTTCTCCACCCATTTATTTATATCAATTCTACATTCTTCTGGTCTTTTTTTGAAATCTTTTCTATTAACTTCACACGAGAAATACTCACTTGTAAGTGCCTTAAAATCGCTCTTTATTTCAACGGCCTTATTAACAAACATTCGTGTGGCGATTTTCAAATTAGGACTTTCTAAACTGTTTATCACAGCTTTATAGGCTTTGAGCATCTCTTTATCATTTTTTGAGTGATGTATGATATTAGCGATTTCATTTTCTGTTTTTCCATCGGCACCTTCAAGCGTCATTGCTAATAAAACCTGAATACCAAAGGGGGACACAATTAAGTTTCCATCATCGCTTCGCAAAGCCTGGTATAATTCTGAAGAAAACACATTAACCAACGTGTTTAGCCGATTTTCAGATGAAGCCATTGTATTGTCTGTTTTTGGAAAATCACATATAGAAACTTATTAACTTTGTTACTGGCATAATTTGATCATATGTTAACCACAAAACAAACTTGTTTTTAAACTGCGCTAAGTATTTGGCTTCTTTTGGTTGTTAGTGTTTTTACAGATCTCACGATATACTTGCATTCTTCATCTTTTTCCTTCAAGCTGAAAAAAAATGAAAAGAAAAGAAAAAAAAATCCTCTAAAAAAAAGAAAAAAAAATTGAAGACGGAGAAATAAAACAATTAAATATGTCATCTTCACTCCCTAGTACAGATATAAATTAATCTATTGTTGTTAATGGATGAACCATCATATGTGCGTTGTAACACAAATTAAACTTATCACATTTGAGAGGATTTCTATGAATTTCCTTTAAAAATACTTGTTGAAATTGTAAGGTGAAACTGCACTGTTATTCATTAACTATTTACAAGAGAACTATCTACATAAAAAAGAAAGGCAAAAAAAAAATATAACTTATAACGAACTACAAGAAATTCAGTATATACATGCACAACGATCATTCGATAACTATTGATATATGAACAGATATAGTAGCTTCGTTACATAAATGTTATGATTATATATAAGCAAGGTTCAGCAGCAGAACAATAATACTATATCTTGTTACACAGGTTCATCAAAAAGTTATTGATTTTCAGGTTATTTTTGAAGATAAAGATAAATTATTATAAACATCTGTTGAAATGAACAAGTTGACAGCAGTAAAATGTTTTTTAAAAAGTCATCTCAAAAATAGAAAATCTCATCTAATTAATTTTCTTTTTTTTTCTTTAATTTTATTTTTCATTATGTCCTATAAATAGTGAATGATCTATCAATAAGATCCCAAACTCTTTAATCACTCATCACAAACCTTGAAAAACGGTGTCAATACTGGAGGATTAAAATTAACTCCAATAAATCCCATCAAATTACATTTACGCTTCGTCGTAAACCCATGACTTTCTGTCCTAAAATATCTTTTTATAATACTCCACTTATCTCTGTAGAACAAATCCGATACCTAGGATTCCACCTGGAAAAGGGTCGCACTTGCAATCCTCTTACCAATCTAAAACGACTAGAAACTGTTCGAAATTTCCATCTCTAGCACTTACTAAATAAACGCTCTAAACTTTCACTTTATTACAAATGAGTCATATATAGGACTATGATAAGGTCTGTTTGTACTTACGGAATTGAGCTTTGGGGCTTAATCCTTACAATCCAAAATCCTTCGTAAAATCCTCGATGCTTCTTACATTCTCACAAATAAAATCATCCATAACGACCTTTATGTACTATATGTTTCCGATTTGGCCCAACCCAGATACCTATTCTTCCATCATAAACTTCAGAACCATACGAACTCTCTCGTTTCTGACCTTGCTTCAATTCCTGATAACCCTCCAAGGCGTCTAAAAATAATAGTTATTTCTTTATGAACACATATTATTTTATTTACATTTAATCGTATTTTATTGAGAAAAAATACAGTTTGCCTCAATCAAGGGCATTGAGTATTTGCGATGCGAGAATCTCATTCATACAATATATGCAATTACAAAAATAATAGAAATCACGACAAAAATAAGAAAAGGAACTTAGTAAAACAGATGAAATAAAATACGATACAAACCAAATTAAAAATAAATAAAACATTCATGCTTATTTAGTCAGCCGAAGGAGCTCCAAGTCGGGCCTTTACCCCCACGTGTGGAAGATAATGAGGGACTCTAAGAGATCCCTTCTCTCTGAGCCGCATCACTGAGATGGGATGGATCCAGTGGAGACTGAGAAAGGGCACTAAAGCCACTTACACCATATTATTAGAGTGCTTCCACGGAATAGTTTCTCAACAATCGTTTTGATGTCATTATATTCCTGTGTATTTTATATTCTAATATAGTTACAAATATCACGAATAAATAATTTTTTTTAAAAATCGCCAACCTGTATTTTGTGTTAAGTACTTTTTAATATGAATCTCATAATTGAATGTTTTATAAAAATTATCAAATTCATAATCAAAATCGATTCTTCTCTAGAACAAATATACTTGTAATACACCTGAATCCTCTCCTGCCCCGAGACGTCAAAGAGAGAGAAAGAAGCCGGATCTGATTTAGTATTCCAGAAGGGAGAGGCTTACGCATGACATATCCAGGTTGTGAACCCGCAGACGGTTCCCGCTGGAGAGAATTCTGCCGACAGACTCGTAAAGCGGCGGGGGGCAATTGGGCCGACCGGGTTGTAAAAACATTTCATTTGGGCCAACCTAAGCCCCGGCGAGGCTCAATAAAGTCCAGCGTCTGTTCGACGGCTCCTTCCATATTGGCCGTTAGCTTTATTATTTTCGCATTTAACTCTATTATTCTGTCCTAGATTTATATTTGAGACTGTTTAATTTTCAATGTATCTCATTTTAACTTAATTTAATCATTCACTGAGTTTAATACCAAAATAAAAATAAATATCCAAACTGCTTTGTACGGAATCAAGTTCGACTGTTAACGCCGCATACGCTCAATTCTTTTATTTTTTTTTTCACTATCCCTTTTTTAATGTTAGCCAACAATAAAATGTTTATTTGTTTTTTTTTTTTTGGTAAAAACTGAGGGAAAATTGTCTCAGAAATATATTTAAGTTTATATAATTTGTATATTAGGCTTCGTTTGCGATGTGTTATCGCGTTTGTGTATACACACCAGCCCGGCAGTAATACCCTGTCTTAGGGATTAAGACATAAAAATACGGCTGGGAAGGCAGTCTGGAGCTGGCTTTTGATGACGGATCCACATAGTGGACGGCTATCCCCACCTTCTGCTCCAGGTTCACCTCGACTCACCAGCCTAGCGCGATTTTTTTATAACGGCTGTATCATCGATCGGGATCGATATGCATATCGATCCTCCCACCATCGACTGCTTTGACAGCTGAACATCAGGTAACTAACCTCTTTTGTGTTTTTTATTCTCACCAAGACATTTGAACATTAAGTTATTTTTCGTTTATCTCAATAAATTAGTTTTGTTCTTTTAGACAATCATTTTTCTCTCTTGTTTTAATTTTAATTTTAGAAATTGATTTATTTTGCTTTATTAATAATTATTAATTTGGGTTTATGTTCACTGAGTATTATATTTTGTGTTTTATTCATTTCAATGAAATTCGTGCCACTCTTTATTTGTTTTTTAAATATTGTATATATTTTTTATCTCAATAAATTTGTAAGCATTTAGAACGGGATTTTTCATTTTCCATTTTGATTTATTTAATATTATTTTCTTTTGCATGCATTTGTTTTTTTCTTTAATGTTTTACAGGTCTCATTTTTATTCACTCTTTTTTTCCCTTCTTTCCCAACATTTTTAATTTTACTTGAATTTTCCCCACCATTGAGGAAACGCACCGGGGAATGATTTGTACTTCGATTTTGAAGTACCCCTGGCCCCAACAATGATAAAGAAAAATAGTAAATTATTGTTAATAAAACTACCTCAGATACCGTATACTTTTTTTTTTTTGCTGTAAATGAATATGTTTATTGAAATTTACAACTGTAAAACCTATAAATGAATAGAAAGAATCAACAAAGGTGCAATAAGGCTGCGTGCAGATAATTGGAATGAATATCCCAATACAGACAGAGATGGAGATATCTTCTTAAGGTAAAAAAAAATATCCACAAGGTCTGCAATACCAAAAGAAAATGAAAAAAAATCAACTTTATTATTATCTTTTATTTATTTATTGAGCATTACAACAATCTGTCACATGGACACTAGTTATAGTGAGGTAGGACACCATTCACACTATATGTACAAAAAATGTAAAATAAATAGAAGCAAAATAACAATCAATAAAAATTAAAAAGTATATACAATAAATAAAATAGAATAACCTAAAAATAAGAAAATTAAAACTAAGCAAGAAACACATGCATGCCTATATACACTATTTACAATCAGGAGAGGGAATTATAGGAGAATCCTGTGCTACTCTCTCAACGCCTCACTGATACTAAAACCAGCAGAGATTGATCGAGAGCAAAAAAGAAAAAGAAATCAACTAAAAATATAAGCGAGGGAGAATAGGTACGGTTGTGACAGTTGTCATATTAGTGAAACAATACGGAATTGCCGATAGGTTTATTTGGAAGAAAGGGACTTTGTTCTGTTATCAAAGTATTCTACAGTATTGCTAACGCATCGCGCGACATTAATGCAAGTAGAGGCCTTCATTACTTTTAACAGACAAAAGTAACTATTGTTATTAAATTTCTTTGAATAATTGTTATTATAAATGTACAGACAGACATTATTATTTTTTGAGAAGGAGTGCGTTGTTTATTGTGTTTATTTTAAGTGTATAGGTGTATGGTGTTAAGGCTGATAACAATTCGCTCCGCTCTAGGAATACTTGAGGGTTTTCGAAATCCTGTTCGTAAACTGTTGGGTGGGAGATAAAGACCAGAGACTAACGATATCAGCCTTAATACCATCCTGCAATGTAAATAACATGCCGAATGTATATAAGCAGGATTATTTGACGAATAAAGCAGTATTGATTCAGAAGCCGTGAGTGTTTTATCATATATTATTATATATTATATATATATATTATATATATATATTATAATATATATAATATATATATATATAATATATATGTATATATATGTATATATAATATATATATAATATATATATATATATATTTATATATATGTATATATTATATATTATATAATATATTATATATATATATAATATATTTTACATATATATATATGTATATATATATGTATATATGTATATATGTATATATGTATATATATATATTAAA